ATTTTTACATAATAATTGATAAAGCATCATCTTTTAATCATTGCTAGGAAGCAATATTTAAGTTAAAAAGAAATTGGCCAAATCACAAATTCCCAAGCTACCCTACCTCATTACATTTTTAGTTGCAAGGCTAAAAATGAGATAACTCTGCATATACTGCTTGTAGGAGTAGTACAAATATGATAATAAAGCTGTTGTTCACAAGAATAAGTCCCTTACAGAATCTGAAATGTAAGGGACCTAAAACCACCTGGTAGCACACATGTTTTTAGAGACAATGCAAAATGGAATACAAAATAACAATCCTTTTCTTTTTTAATGAATGGCTCTACATATTTACCCCAGGACTTAATTACATGTTTACATGGAAATACTAAGGTTTACAATTAAAAACTTAAACTTACTTAAGGCACAACCCCTGTGGCCTTTTGACATTGTCTAGCAGGTCACAGGATTTTTTGGAGCCCTGGCTCCAAGGTCCTGTGACTTCAGAACTGGGACTCTGAAGGCCAAGCCCATGCCCACATCCCTTGCAGCCAACGCAGAAAGAATTGCAGCCAAGGCTGCAACTGGGTCTCTGTGGGGGCAGAGAGGGCCTGCCAGGAGCGCAGGGAGGGGAGGAAGCTGGTGCTGACAGCTGATTCAGATTCCTCTCAGTGCCCCAGGTGCCTTTCCTCCCTCTCCTTGGCACTTAATCTAGGAACAAAATACAGAATGCAAGATGTGGCGGCCGACGCAATCCCTGCTATCTCGCCTTGCTCCACGTGTTGAATGCATGTAAGGCTCCAGGTTCAGAGTCCTGTGTGTCTGTAAGGTGGAAGGCACTGGACTACACTCTCATTTTACTTTGTCAAAGAATGCAAAACAAAAATGGAAAATATTTTAACATAACTTATTATAAGTATGGCTTTAAACGTATTTCAGATCCTTAGGCACCCACACTGAAGACTTAAGAGTCCATTCTGATGCATCTTTTTCAGGACTTGATCACACTGAATTAAGTGGCTCTACTTTCAAGGAAGTCTGTACAAGGATTCACACTAGTTCTATTACTATTAAATAGCAAGGTAGTTTCCAACTGCTATAAATGGGAGAAAATAAGACAAGGAAGATGAACCGTATTATGTAAGAGATGGATTGCAAAGCTATGATCCTGCAAGCTTTGTATGTCACAAGCTTTGGTGGTTAATCCTGAAGACTGGCTGCTGCCTTCACTGAACTGTAGGGAACCACATAACATGTATTCTGCAAAGGCAACTTGTGGCCCTCCAGATGTTGTTGGACTGCAATTCCCATCAACATTATTCAGCACAATAAATAATATGGAATGATGGGAGTAGTGCCTATGATATACTAGTATTTACAAAACAACATTCCAATGCTATTATACAGCAGAAGGAATTATTGATGACAAAAGCAAGCTGAGGCATTTCCACCTGCACAATGTACTTTCTGTAGTGACCCTAGCAGGGCATGGGCACAATACTATAACTGGTTACATGGTCATGTCACAAGTTAGCCTGATGACCATTCCTTTTTTAAGTATAAGGCCAGCTGTTGTTGTAAAACAAATACACAGCCCTGCTTTACATGAACGGATGATTCCACCAAGGTAACAAAACAGGTTCTTTAGATAATCATGTCTAAAAAATTACCAAGTGACCATGATGACTAGAATGATTTTTTTTAATCCTTGGGTCTAATCCTTTTTGCATGCCACTCCTTGCAGAATTATTTTCTCCCTGTACCCTATATAACTGATATCACTGTATTTGGTATGTCTTGACAAGAACTTAATTAGGTCCCATGAATTCCCAGATACAAATAACACTGGAGACTTTTCCTGGCATCCTGCATAAAAGTAAACATTTGAATTAAGTAATAGCTCAGGTTATAACAGTGTATCAGACCTGAGAAAGACTACCCTGTAGCTCTATCTATCTATCTATTAAAAGTTTTTGTATGCTGTCCTATTATTCAAAATCTCACTAACAGTACTTTGTAATTGTGATGTTAATTTTATTAGTGAAGTGATGCTCAAAATGTT